AATCGAACCCAGGGCCTCATGCATGCAAGGCAAGTGCTCTACCACTGAGCCACCTTCCCAGCCCTGCTTTTTGTTTTCTTGCTGTTGTTGCTGCTGCTTTGAGAGTCCATAACCAAGGATGGCTTCAAACTGATAACCTTCCTACCTCAGCCTCAGCCTGCAAAAGGTGGGGTTACAGGCATACCCCAAACGCCCAGCTAAAGAATGTTTTTCTTTCTTCAGCGCTGAAGATGGAACCTAGGGTCTCAAGCTTGCTAGACCAGTTGTCTGCTGCTGAGCTGCACAGGCAACCCCTCTGCTGAAGGTTTATGGTCCCTTTGCCTAACTAGTAAGTTCTCGAGATCTCTTATCGTGCAATGGTATCAGAAAGCCACTGGGGGACAGCCTAGCCCAGGTGCTTTTCCCAACTCAAAGTACCCTGCACAAAAACTTTAAAGTATTCATTACAGATCAACCTGAAGGTATTCTTGCCAAATGAAAATGATATCCTACATTTTTCTTAAAATTGTGTACATACTGGAGAACTCACTCCTGAGCTCACGGCTTCTTTGTGACACTCCCACACACTGCTGAGCGGCCTTCCTCCAGTGCTCAGAGAACGTCTATGACTTTCAGTCTCGTGTAAGGTACCAGCAGCTTCAGACACAGAACAGGCAACCAAAAAAAGAAAAAAAGTTACCTATGCCCCCTAAAAGAGTAAACACCTTTATACATAGTTATCCTTAAAGGGGGGGGGGGGGGGGGACTGTCGGCACGCTTCTCTGGCTGAGATCTTGAGGATTAAAGTGCACAAGCTTCACACGTCCAGTTAACCCCACGCGCACGCGCACACGGCCATTAAGTGGAGGTGTGACTTAAGTGGTGGGAGCGCCAGCCTTGAGAGGAAAAAGCTCAGGGACGACGCCCAGGCCCTGATTTCAAGCCCCAGCACTGGCACGGAAGAGGAGAGGGAGTTCAGACAGACAGCGAGGGAGGGAAGGAGGAGGGGAGGGAGACGGGGACAGACCAATTGAAGGAGGTCAGAGCTCAGACAGCAGGACAGTCAGGAAAGCCCGTGTGCGGACAAGCGGCGCCCGCGGAGGAGCACGACTCCATCCCGGGACACGCCCGCGCTCCTCCCCGTGCGCGGTGACCGGAAGCACGGAGGGGCGCCCGCCCGCAAAGCGCGGGGCCGGGGCGCTCGGTCGAGAGCGCGCGCGCGCACCCCGCACCCGCCCGGGCCGCGGCGTGGCCCTCCCCGCGCCCCGGGGCCCTCCCCGCCCGCGCCGCCGCCCTCCCCGCGCCCCGGGGCCCTCCCCGCCCGCGCCCCGGGGCCCTCCCCGCCCGCGCCCCGGGGCCCTCCCCGCCCGCGCCGCCGCCCTCCCCGCGCCCCGGGGCCCTCCCCGCCCGCGCCGCCGCCCTCCCCGCGCCCCGGGGCCCTCCCCGCCGGCGCCGCCGCCCTCCCCGCCCGCGCCGCCGCCCTCCCCGCGCCCCGGGGCCCTCCCCGCCGGCGCCGCCGCCCTCCCCGCCCGCGCCGCCGCCCTCCCCGCCCGCGCCGCCGCCCTCCCCGCCCGCGCCGCCGCCCTCCCCGCGCCCCGGGGCCCTCCCCGCGCCCCGGGGCCCTCCCCGCCGGCGCCGCCGCCCTCCCCCCGCCCCGGGGCCCTCCCCGCGCCCCGGGGCCCTCCCCCCCGGCGCCCCGCGAGCCGCAAGGATACCCACGGCCAGCACCTTGCCCTCCAGCGCCTCGGGGCTGACCGGCCGGCCCGCGCCCTCCAGCAGCCGCCACAGGCCCTGCACACCCATGGCGCCCGGGCCTCAGCCCCGCGCCGACGGGGCGCACCGCCGACCCCCACTCAGAACCGACGGGAAACAGCGCGGGCCCCGCGGCTTTCCGGAGGGAAAGGTATTGCACAGACGCCGGGAAGGCCAAAAGCCGGCCGGAAAGCGGGCGGCGCGCTTCCGGCTCGGCTCACTTCCGGGGAGGGAGACAGGACCGGAAGGCAGGAGACGGGCGGGAGGGCGGGGCCTGGCGCCCCGGAAGTGATTGGCGGTCCCGCCCAGTGCGGCACGTCAGCCTTGGGCTGCTCACTTCCGGGCTCCCAGAGACTGTTGCAAGTCTGTAAGCGTGCGAGTTGCAAAGTAGTAAAAAGGCATAGCTGTCGTGATCTGATGTAATGCACTCTCTAAATAGGTGGACAGACAGACAGATAGGATAACTGATATAGATGATAGTACCACTTAATATTAGATAGGACAAATGATATAGTGCTACTTAATATTAGAATAAATGATACAGATGATAGCGCCAAATACTTAGTATTAGGTAGATAGAGCTAAATAGATAATATAGATGGTAGTGCTACTTAATAATATTAGATAAGATAAATGATATAGATGATAGTACTAGATAATAGGATAAATGATATAGATGATAGCACTACTGAATATTAGAGATATAGATAAGATAGGATGAATGATATAGATGATAGTGCTAGATAATATTAAGACAAATGATATAGATGATAGAGCTACTTAATATTGGATAAGATAAATGATACAGATAGTGATACTTAGTAATATTAGAGATATAGATAGGATGAATGATATAGATGATAATGCTAGATAATATTAGGTAGGACAAATGATATAGATGATAGAGCTAGATACTTAATATTAGATAGGATAAATGATATAATGATAAATACTTAATAATATTAGAGATATAGATAAGATAGGATGAATGATATAGATGATAGCTCTACATACTTAATAATATTAGAGACAGAAACTTGCTTTTGGCAGTACTCAAGATTGAACTCAAGGCTGTACATCTGCTGAATGATCGATCTTTTTACCACTTTAGTCACACTCCATTGCTTTGAGTTTGTTTTTGAGATAGGATCTCCAACAGCCTTGGGCTGCAGTGCTGTTATCTCCCAAGTGGCTGGGATCACAGTCACATATCACCACTTCTGTCTTGTTTTGCTAGTGTCTCCCTTTTTTTTTTTTTTGGCCCTGGCTTACCAACCATGATCTTCCTGCCTCTGACTCCCAAGCAACAGTGATTATAAGCAATAGCCACATCATCCAGACCAATTTAACCCCCAAATAAGAGGTCCACAGTTCATTTACAATCAGGAAGTATTTCTTTCAATGTTCTTTAAAAGATGCTATTAAGGATCTAACAGTAAAGTACACATTTTTTGTATTACCACACTAGTGTTTTAATTTTGAGCATCAGGCTTGCTAGGCAGATACTTCACCACTTAAGCCACATCCCCAGCTGTTTTTGCCCCTTAGTTTTGATCATGATCTTCCTACACCTTCATCATTCTCCGCCCTTGTACCAGAGAAGACAGGAATGCAACACCACACCTAGCTTATTTGTTGAAAATGGAGTCTGTCAGCCAGCTGGACAAGCTTCCTAATCTCTGCTGCTGAGAGTTCAGAGGTTATATGCCCTAAACAGCACTTCTGTCTTTTAAACATGTGTTTTCTTATTCTTTCCCCTTTTCCCCATTTTGCCACTGACAAAATAAGCACAGAAATTCATTTTAACTTGTCCTAGAATAATACAGCTGACGGCAAAGCTAGCATTTCAAAACTCCGTTCTATCTACAGGCACTCCTAAGAAGTGTCAAACAAGAAATGAAAAAGGCCAGGCACCGGTGGCTCACACCTGTGATCTTGGCTACTCAGTAGAGGCTGATGTGAGGATCACAGTTTGAAACCAGCCTGGGCAGGAAAGTCTATGAGTCTCTTACAATCAATTAATCATCAAAAAAAAAAAAAAAAAAGAGGTGGAGCTGTGGCTCAAAAGAAGTAGCCTTGAGCAAATAAAGCTCAGGAACAGTGCCTAATGCCTGAGTTCAGGCCTAGAACTGGCAAAAAAAGAAAGAAAGAAAGAAAGAAAAAGAAATAGGACAGAAATGTTCTTCATTTTCAAAGAGAGGTCTGCAGAAACTTGCCTACACTCTTGCCCCAGACTGAAGCCTCACCTTCCTCTGAGTAACTGCCATATTGTAAGGCAGAGGTTTATGTGAGCATCTAGGTCAGGGCTGTTAAAAAAAAAAGTGATTATGACTGCATTCTCCTCTCCAACTTCCTCTCTTCATTGTCCTGACTCCCTCCCCTTGACCTCCCTCCAAACATCTTAGGTACCAGCTTCCTGGGATTCATTTTGTTGGACTGTGAGTTTGTTGTTCCTATAAGACCAGGATATAGAGGGAAGAGGTGGGCTTGAGGGGGATGGGTATAATACTGGCACTGATAATGAAGGATGAATTGCATTCATAAACTGTCATGTTGAATGGTAAACCCTATGAAACTAAAACATAAAACAATATTTTTAAAGAGCAATAAAAATTTATTACTTAGAATACTGGAATTGAAAAAACCCTGATTATCCCTGAACTCAACATCTTTTCTTTTTCTTTTTTTGTCAGTCATAGGGCTTGAACTCTGGGGTTGGATGCTGTCCTTCAGCTCTTCAGTTCAAGGCTAGTGCTCTACCACTTGACCCACAGTCCCACTTCTGGTTTTCTAGTGGCCTATTGGAGATAAGAATCTCAGGGACTTTCCTGCCTGGGCTGGCTGTGAACCGTGATCCTCAGATGACAGCCTCCTGAATAGCTAGGATTACAGGCGTGAGACACCGGTGCCCAGCTTCATGTTATTCTTTTATTTTATATTTTCTCCTTTCCTCTCTGCTCTTCCTACTTACCTCCTCTCTAAAATACTCCCACTAACTAACAATTATGTTTGAGCTACAAAAACGGAAACATTACTTGATTTGAGCTAATAAGAAATAGAGTCAATGTTCCATTTCCTACTATAAAGCTTAAAGAAATCTATAATGATCATCTTCACAATTATATAGTTTCATTCATTAAAAAATGCAATATTCATGCTGGTTTTTTTTTATAACACTAATTAGCAGAACAGGCAAAGTATCGTGTACTTTACACAAAATTGTAAGGGCACTCCATAACTAGAACAAAGGTTCAGGAACCACCACATAATTAAAAGTAGAAAACAAAATTTTATTTGATGAAAACTTTTTAAAAGTTCCAGTATGAAGTAACAAAAATCAACGACCTACAAATCTCTTCCAGTCCTTTGCATGCCAAGCAAAATATTCTCTTCAGAAAATGACCATTTTAGAATATATATCCCTTTCTGTAGGCTAGACATGTGTGAGTGGATAAATGGATATAAAATTCAGAGGGGGGGAAAAATGAAAATATTCTAAAAATAAAAATCTGAACCCTCTTCTTGAGGTGTATTGCGATATGGTAGCCAACATATTCAGCACCTTGTATTCCCTAAGTTAGTGACTGGAGCCCCAGAACCATCCCCAGAAAGGAAAGATCAAGAGATCCCACAAGTTTTTGAGTCACAAGTTGGCAGCAGAAGAAAAACCAACAACCACTGGAGAGGAGCACAAATGCATGAAACACACACTTGTGAAATTGTCAATACTTCAAAGAGCTAGTTATCTATATGGTTCAATAACTGCAACAGCTCACAGTTTAGGACAAAGAGAGCTGTCTTCTGAGTGGCCTGGGCATTCCTAACACATCTTAACAGTGCCATTGTTAACATGAGACTCCATGTAAGGGACTGGTCAGATACCAGAAAAGCTCACTGCACAGATTACCTTGTGTATAGAAACCTCTGATGCCACTTGTCCTTTGGCTATATCCCTAAAACAAGGTTTAATCTAAACTTATAGAAGAATGCTTCCGAAACCCAAGGGTCCTGTCAATATTTCACAGTAATATACCAAGTCAAGAATATCTGAATCCACACAGCAAGTCACCTGCACACACCACTAGAAAAGATCAGTTCCTTCCATCTTTCTCTTTTGCCTTTGTACTGAGAATCATGAAATGGTTGTTCAGGAAACAAATGGTGAGGCTAGCAATGATACTGCTGTACGTGAAAGACTACTATTCACAACATGATTATAAATGAGCTTTAAACCATGAGCAAACTTTAGAAATTTTACAGCCCTCATTTGTTTTTGTTTTTTAAGGGCAGACAGACAGTGCTTTACCTCTTGATCTTAGGAACAAAACTATCTGGAATAATAGGCCTAAGGATCAAATCATAAGAAATCACTTCATGCTTAAGTATTTCAAATCCTGACGCTGTTAAGTGAATTTGTGTTTGTATTAAGAAGCAGTTGTGATTTTTATCGGATTCTATGAAAAGTTCTGTCCAGATTGTTAATCTACTCTTAACTGTAAAAGGGTAATAATCTGTGCTTATCTGCCTATGCATCTGAATTCGCCATTCTGTCATAGTCCTATGCAAGCACATTGACTAGAGAACTACAAGGTTATGCTTTGTGCCACAAGGTCTGTCCTACTCATAGACTTAAAGAAATCTACTGACTCGAAGCAGTGCCGTTCAGGACGGTGATGTGATGTCACAACTGTCCAGCGTCCCGCCGTCAGTCATTCCCATCATAATCACTGTAGCCCTGGTAGCCGCTGTTCCTTCTCTCGTGGATGCTGGACATTTTCTTCCATGCCGAATCCTGATGGAAGCTGGCGCTGAAGGACCGGCCGAGACGCCCATGCTGCTTTCTGGAGATGTTGTCTTCACTCTCAGATTTGGCGATCCCCTGGGCAAGCACTGGAGGCTGTGATTCTTGTCTAATTGTGCCAAATGGAAAGTTCCAAAGGTCAAACCTTTGCCAGCTCAGTCTCTGGAAAGCTATGATGCAATGCAAATTCCCCCCAACCTGAGAGGAAAAAAGAAGAAGAAGAAAAGTTAAAGCAAATAAAGAAAAGCTGAGCTAGATGTGTGGCTATTGGGCGCTCTCACATTTTTACTCTTCTCTTGCCCCCAAACAGTATTTTTCTGTTCACTCCCCATCAGAGCACACTGTGCATGGTTTGCATCTTTCCTGACAGCTGCCTTTATAAACCATAACAGAGCCCTAAGGAGCCACATACCTCTCTCTACCCCATATGACTCTCCTCAACTCTACCCTGAACACACTGTCTAGAACAGATGCCAAATCAATTTTCCTCTCTCTCCTGTTCTTGCTATAGTCGTAGATCTATAGAACTGCCGCAGACGAACATCTACTCCATCCACACAACATATTTCCTTTTTGCTGAGGGACTTCCTGCAGCCTAATTGGTCCATATCGCTCTGGCCACTGAATAAAATTAATTTGGACTCAGTTGGGCTAAGACCATAGAGCAAGGCAGGCCAGCATCAGTTCAGTTCAGACTACACACCTGAAAGGGAAAGACACCAACAGAAGGGTAATAATCTTTAAGCAGTATAAAAGGAAAGACAAGAACAACACTGAGCCCATGTGAAGAGAAGAGAGATTACTAGCTACGGAGTACTGCTATCATTCCAATACCAGGAAGCATTCTCTATGCCACTAGGCTATTCTCCTTGCCTTTGAATTTTAAAGATAGTCCTCAACTGGTAAGATGAAATGAAAATGCCTTTGTATACCTAGGTAACAAAAAAAAGTCCTGTGTTCTTAAAATAATTTTAATAAGCAAGGGAACTAAGGAGAGACTTCTCAGAAGAAGAGGTAAGAATGTCAAAGAAACACATGAGGAGATGCTCATCGTCCCTGGCCACACAGGAAATGCAAATCAAAACAACACTGAGATTCTATCTCACCCAGGCTGAGATCTGAGGATTGCAGAAAAGTCCCTCTGAGACTCATATTTCCAATTAACCACTCAAAAACCAGAAGTGGCACTGTGGCTCAAGTGGAAGAACACTAGCCTTGGGCTCAGGGAGAGCACCCAAGCCCTGAGTTCAAGCCCCACAACCAACAACAACAACAAAAAAAGATACCTGCACTCTAGGTTCATTGCAACACTATTCACAATAGTTTCCAAGATATGGAAACAACCCTAATTCCACACAGTAGATGAGTAGATCCAAAAACTGTGGTATCTATACACAGGGAAATTACACAGCCATTAGAATAAAATAATGTCATGTGCAGGGAAATGGATGAACTAGAACAAATTATGTTAAATGAGGTAAGCCAAGCTCAGAGAGACAAATGGTGCACGTTCTCTCTGATATGTGGAAATTAGATCTAAACTAAACTGCAATATAATAAATTATACAGGATTCTAGATATTCACACATAGTGGAACCAAAAAAGTCTACTCTTAGGAGAGAAAAACAAAAGGCACAATGTCTAAGTGCCTCTTCATATTTATATAAAATATATATATACTGAAGTGATCTCCAAGATATGGAAACAAGACACCTCTTTTTTTTCGTTCTTTTTTAATGTGTTAGTTTTTGGTGATTCTGTCTACTTTACCTTGTGTAGGATGCATTCAAGTGTACATCTTTGGAAGGGCTGGAGGGAGTGTACAGAACTCGAGGGGAAAAGGGTGAAAAAGTGCAGCAACGGAGCGTTCTGGACGCTGATGAAAAGTGAACTATATACTTCATGGGTGGAGATGGGAGGGAGGGAATGGGAGAGTGAGGAACAGAAGACACTGCATGAAAGGAAATGTACTCATTACCTGACTCATGTAATTAGAATCCCTCTATACATCACCTCCATCATAACAATAAATTAATAATTTAAAATAATAATTTTCATTTTGCCATCTAAAATGGATTTTCATCTAAGGTAGATTTCTGTTTTTTAGTCCCTCAAGAGTGTGGAGTAAAGTACAACATTCTGATCACTTAGGAAATACTTTCAAATGCAACAACGTTATTCTTACCTTCTTTGTTTTTCTAAACTGAAGTCCTCTCTCTAGGTGCCGGATATCCAGGTATTCTGGATTTTGAGTGTTCAGATCAGTGACAATATCTGCCCATCTGTTCAGAAGAAAGAATGCAGCACAACTTTCTTTAGGTCCAAAGTACAATTCTAACTGAACTTTTCACAAAGACAAGTGCTGGTGGCTCACGCCTATAATCCTAGCTAGTGTGGCTACAATCCCATTTAAATACCACTAGAGTACCTGCCATAAATTTCAACTGCAGATAATAATACATGAAGCAAAGGTAGGAAGACTGGTCCAAGGCAACCCAGGTAAAAGTGAGAGACTCTATCTAAGAAAATAAAAGCAAAAGGGGCTAGGGACATGGTTCAAATGGTAACGCACCTGTCTGGCAAGCAACAGACCTTGAATTCAAACCCAAATATTGTGAAAAAGAAAAGATTGGAAAGGAAGGAGAAAGAGGAATGGAAATATAAGACCTCTGAGAGAATGTAAATTTGTAATTAAAGAGAGATTTGGCACATGTCCACAGACTAGAAGAGCCCAGATTTTTATGATGTCACTTCTCCCCAAGAAAACATGAATTCTATAGATTCCATCCTGTTCGAATTCTGTTTCTGATTCAACAGGCTTTTTTGTTTTTAGCAGAAAATGGCAGATTCCAAAATTGTGATGGCAAAGCAAAAATTCTTGATAGATAACTGAAATGAAGAGAGAGATACAAAAGAATTCTGCCTACTTCTATTTATATGGAACTCAAGAACTACCAAAGTCAATCCATGATGATGGGAATCAGAATACAGGTGGTCTGTGGCTGGACAGAAATGGAGAAGGAGGGCACTAGAGTAATGAAAATATGCTATATTGTGATTGGAGTGACAATTACAAAGATATATATAAAACATATATCTCAAAACCCATCTAATTACACAATTAAGATCTGTGAACCTCAGTTCACCTAACATTGACCTTGATTTTTTTTTAAAGGAAAGCTACTATAATAACATACTTTTTACAGTGAATTGCAGGATGTTTCCTACTGGACTCTCCAATCAAAATCCAATATTCCACTTCCTGGGGTGAGAGGGGACCCCTGCTAAACATGAAAATAAAAAACTTAATAAAGGTCATGCACTTGACTAAAAGCTTTCAACTATCTATTTGTAAACAGTACATGAAAATGTACTCAATGATAGCATTCATTAATGTAGAATAGACACTGGGTGAAATTAAGAGAAGTAGTGAATTTAACTCTTAATTTCTCATTGAAAATCTTGGACTAAAAAAAGTTTTCATGCACTTCCATCAGATCCTTGGAGGAAAAAACAACATATGGCATTCTTCCCTTTTAACTATGCATCTAAGACATTTCAAAGGGGATCCTAAAAATATAACCCTAAATCAAGGGTTTCCCCTAAAGGAGGAACACACAGATCCCTGAAAGTTCTCCCTCAAATAGGTTTGGAATGGAAAATAAGGAGTTTGCGTAATTTTTTTTTTTTTAATTTCCATTTCAGGTGGTTCTTAGGTACCGGCACTGATGAGGAACTCTTTTTTTTTTGTTGGTCCTGGGGCTTGAACTCTGGGCTTGGCCACTACCCATCAGCTCTTCAGCTCAAGGCAAGCACGCTACCACTTGAGCCATAATGCCAATTCTGGTTTTCTAGTAGTTTATTGGAGATAGGAGTCTCACAGACTTTCCTGCCCGGGCTGGCTTTGAACCATGATCCTCAGATCTCAGCCTCCTGAGTAGCTAGGATTACAGGCGTGAGCCACCGGCGCCCGGCTTGAGGAACTCTATTTTTAAAGGTACAAAGTGGAAGTAAAATGAGGTTGGACGTTTTGGTAGATGCTAGAAACAAGGTGAAGTTCTAGGAAGCTAGAGGAGACCATTAAAGAAGCAGCAATGTACCTCTCTTATAACAAATTTCACCTCCAGAGAAATGAACAAAGCATTTGCAAAAATGTAATATTCTGTAACTTCCTGGTTTACCTGCTGCTTGTGTCAGGTTCTCTTCTCCCTACAGCCCCCAAGTCCTCTGAGTGAGATCCTCCATCTCCTCCAACCTAATCCTATTCAGATGACCAAGACTGCTAACAGGGGACCCTGGGCTCTCCAAGAAGCAGATCACCTCTTCTCTCTCCACCTGCCTCAGTTAACAAGCCCCTGCATCTAAATGTGAACAAACTAGAGCCTCAGCATGGCCAGTTGAATTTGCCTGCCAGAGTCTTTACTTAAATACACACAACTTCTGCTTTCGTCAATTCTTAACCTGAACACTTCTTCCTTTGCTTTCCAGGATCGTGGCATTTGCTCAAACCATCATGAAGAAAACATGGAAAGGAAGAAAAATAGTAGTCAAACTAAGTGATCTTCCCTTTTAGGACTCTTGTTAAAAAAAAAAAAAGAAGATATCAATTTATGAACACATAAAATTTATAAAATATAAACTGTGGATTGAGTAAATTAAAAAACAAACAAATATAGCCATGAAGGTAATATGGTTCTTGACAGGGAAATAAAATTTGGTACAGAGTTTTCTTGCAACCAGGATAAAGAGGAATCCTGATACTCTCCATGTCTTTCATGGTTTGAAGGGAAGATACTTTTTAGTTATTTCTGGCACATTGTTCATGTGGAATCCTGGATAAGGACAAGATAGTACATAATGGCTTTTATAATTGTTTTACAGCTGACAGAAAAGTGTTTTTTCAAATAGCTTTCTCTTATGTCTAAGCCCCAGCATCTACGAGAGTATTTGTTAAAGTGCAATTAACTAAATGCAACTCTGCAAAGAATAAGCTCTAATGTTTAATGAATAGGCTAATTAGATACAAAGAAAGTAGACTGGCAAGCTTCCCAATTCCTAAGAGACTCCAAATTCTTTTTAACTCCTTAAAACTCTTTCTATAGCATATTTTCCTGGTGACAATACCCATATGAAATATGTACATTCTTACCCGAATGCTTTACTTGCTTTAACAGGAGTTGCTTCAAAGCCAATTGGACAAAAATAATGATTTTGGCAATGATAGATGTAAGCCAGCGATTCATCTTTCAGTCCACGAGTTAACTTTGACAAGGCTCCCGAAGCTACAGAAAAGAAAACCAAACAAATTGAGGGCCCACAAAACAATGTTGGTATTATATACCATGGATGAGTGAAGGTTCAAGAGACAGAAAAGACATTACTTAGAACACATTGACACAGCAGGGGAAAAGCAAAAAAGTATTAATGAATTCACTTTCCATTTGATCTTTTAGACTGAAATTCACATAAAATCAACAGCAAAAGAAAAAAAAAAAAAAAAAGGAAAAACTGTCCTGATTTACCAAACCTTTCTAATACTACATAAAGTTGTCTATGAACCATGATAATGACAATTTGCCTTGTGAAGGTTAAAACGTGTTTATGACTTTAAGTATCACTATTCCACAATACTGTGAAATACGTGAAATTTATGTGATCACCTAATCTCAATTAAAGAAAAAAGTGAGAGAAGGGATGGGTTAGGAGAGATGGGTGACAATGTTGTCAGAACTTTGTACTCATATACTGTTTTGTAGAATGGGAACTGGGAACTTATTTGTACAACTACTTAAAGATAATAATAATTTTAAAAAGTTGTCTATGAAAGTTATTTACTGGATATGACCTTGTGATTTTATATATATAATGATGATCTCAACTTTCCTGATTGTGTTTATCTAACACTAAAAATTGCTCAATGTGTATGCCAAATGTAAGTGCATTTGTTCAGAAAATACATACACTAGTATAAATCTTTACAAGAGGTACAAAAATAAAAACTTTAAACCAGGCACTGGTGGCTCACACCTATAATCCTAGCTACTCAGTAGGCTGAGATCTGAGGATTGGGGTTCAAAGCCAGCCTGGACAGGAAAGTCCATGAAACTCTTATCTCCAGTAAACCACCAGAAAACTGCAAGTGGCACTGTGGCACAAGTGGTAGAGCGCCATGCTAGCCTTGAGCTGAAGAGCTCAGAGGCAGTGCCCAAACCCAGAGTTCAAGCCCCACAACCAACAACAACAAAAAAGTAAAAACTTTAAATCAGGTCAAAATATAGACTTTCTAATATATGTAGTGTGTCCCCATTTAAATACCACTAAAGTACAGGGCATAAATTTCAACTCCAGATAATACAAACAAACTCCAGAACTGCCAGTTTCTCCACATTAACACACACTTCCACCCTTCTGAAAAAGTTACACGAGAAAGGTTAATTCACTTTCACATCCCAAGTGCTGGAACAGCTCCACAGTCAGGCTGGAGTAGCACACACTCTTCTAACTATTCTTTCTTGTCTGTTTCCCATCACTATCATCAATGTCAATTTCAAATGTATTGCCATAAAAATAAAAGTTTTTACCAGCACTCAGTATTGAAAGCCATTAACTGAGGTTTCATTAACTTGCATTCCTGGAAGAAATTAAATTATTCATTAAGAAATTGCCCATTAAAACTACAAATCCCAAAAATAGCAGATGAAAGCTTGCATGTGGCAATGATTGACTTCCTGGCCACCACAGTAGGTAAAGAACACTAACAACAGCAGGTTAACTGCTACAGCAGAGCGGAGAGGGCAGCCCCTCCCCCTCACACAATGTGCTATGCATCTAGGCCTTCATATTTTTCATCATGACCTCTGGCAAGAGCATCTTTTCACAGCAAGGAGATCTTTCCTATTGAAACTTCTGCTTCAAGTTAGGGACAGTGGTACAAGCCTACACTCTCACATTTGGGAAGATGAGGAAGGAGATTGAATTCTGAGGCTAAATTTGGCTACACAGTGAATTTGAATCAGGGCTCTTTTACAGACTCCATCATATTCTGCAGGGACACAAAAGACAAGCTCTCCCAAGGAAGAAGATACAAGTGATTTTAACATAGGGTGAAATAAGACAGTGTCACAAACGGGTATAGAGCTCAGAGAAGGCACATGTCGGGTGTGAGGAATCCGGAAGGGGTGGCATTCAAGATGGGACTGAATGGAGTGGGAGGATTTTAACAATCCAGACAGAGAAAAGGGTATGAGAGGAAAAACAAAATCACAGGAGGGAGCGGGATAATCTGGGACTAGCAAATCACTTAGTTCGGCGCACAGGGTACAAAAGCAGAGAGAAGCCTACCGTAGGGAACCCCCACAATTTCAGGACAAAGTCAGAAATAGATCAGATCATCCTCTGAAATAAAAGACAGTAAACAGAGCAATAAATACATGAGCCATCCAAGAAGGTGATTCTGTGTATTGAAGACATGCAAATGTGCTACAGATGGAAGCTAAATTCCGAATGAAGTTCACTCCCTATCAGAATGTATCTAAAAACACCCCGAACTTGAAATGACAAAGCAACCGGTGAGCTGCATCGTGGAGTGAGGAGAAGGAAACCACAGGACTCGCCTCACCTCCAGCAGGGTGACAGGAGTGCTGAGCTGCTGAGGACAGAATCCTGGCCCCTGTGGCATGGTGAATCTTACTTTAATACATTAACAACGGACTATCTTTCCGTATAGTGTACTAACTTGCCCTGTAGCTACTGGTCATCCATAGGAAAATCCTAGAGAACTCCAGAAGAACTTTTGAGAATGCTTTTTTTTTTACATCTTTGAAGTTGAAAGATTCTGGAACTGGGATAGGTAGTACAGTGACATCTATTGTTCTTCATTTGTATCTTTTAAAAACTGGAGATGGCCCACGGGAGAGAGGAGCTTTGAGTGGCCTTCCTGGGTTTATGTAGAAAGTAAGCACTAGGAAGCCCCAGAGGTTGTAACATGAGCACTAATTAAAGAAATCTATTTGGCACTGTGTTTACTATGAATTGGAGGCAAACGATGAATGCAGGAAACAGAATACCTATTCATAGTCCACCTGAAAAGCACTGAGGTGTTAGGGAAGCTGAGAGCAATAGCTATGAGAAGGGCATGTATGGGTTACGTAGGGATAAGGCAGAGGTTCTGTTGAACAAAAATGAACTTGATCCTCACTGGAAGAACAAAATTAAGTACCTGAATGTAAGCATCATTTTCAAGCTATCTGGGGAGGGGGGAAGGAAGGTGAGGGGGAAAAGGGTCAGGTACCATTGGCTCATGCCTATAATCCTAGCTACTCAGGAGGCTGAGTTCTGAGAACCACAGTTTGAAGCCAACTCAGACAGGAAAGTCCGTGAGATTCTTTTCTCTAATGAACTACCAAAAAAGGCCAGAAGTGGAACTGTGGCTCAAGCAATAGACTATGTATCAACCTTGAGCAAAAGAAGCTCAGGAACAACAATGAGGTCCTGAGTTCAAGCCACAGGAGTGGCACCAAAAAAAACCCCTTAGCCTTCCTGGCACAAATGCAGGTAGCTAACTGACTCAATACCATGAAATCATCACAGGGTAAAGCTGGCGTTGTCAACTTTTAGCAGCTTCATTGTGATTAGTTAATATCTCTGAAAAGAAATATCCTCTCTGTACAGTATTTTCACAATAAAAAAAATTAATTTAAAAAAATACCCTAGCTTGCATTAAATGTTATCCTATTACCTAAGTTTCAACTTTACTCCAGGAGGAGGCTCCTTCTGTCCTGGGACCCACTGGAAATGAGTATGCTGGCATGTCAGCAAGTACCAGGGAATACAAAAGGCATGTAGTCCCCAAGAAAACAGAACGACTATTGTAGAATATACACCTAACAATCCTGAAGAATAATTTAAACTGAAAGAGAAGACACACTTCAGAGTATGTTTAAATTAAGCTGGTTGACATCGTTTCCACCAACAAGAACCTCAGAGACAAATTGAAAGAAACCACCTCTGCCAACTCTCTTCCACAGTGAGAGAAAAGAAAAAACGCTCTTCGGGCTGGGAAGGTGGCTCAGTGGTAGAGTGCTTGCCTTGCATGCATGAGGCCCTGGGTTCAATTCCTCAGCACCACATAAGCAGAAAAGCCAGAAGTGGCGCTGTGGCTCAAAGTGGTAGAGCGCTAGCCTTGAGCTGAAGAGCTGAGGGGCAGGGCCCAGGCCCAGAGTTCAGGCCCCATGACCAACCAAAAAAGAAAAAAAAGAAAAGGAAAGAAAAAAATACTCCTCCCCAATTCAACCAGTGCTGTAGAGGCCTATTCAGAATAGCCCCTACGGGCATGGAGCTGGATATGCACACAGGCGTGCACAAACACGAAACATAAGATGGCACACACCAGATGCCAAACAACCTATGTAAATGTTTCATGCTGTCGGAGATATGGAGAATACAGCAAATAACTGCAGAGATGGATCAGGGCTCAAGTGTGACCACTAATATGGAAGGGAAAGAAAGGCAGATCACTCTCCCTTGAAATACATACAGAAAACGTAACAAGGAGACTCCAGTCCTCTAACTGGAAAAGAGGAAAATAATACTAGGAAAATACTATATAAAGTTAATTTATAAAGGTTTTATCACTGTTCTTATGCTAAAAAGAAAAAAAAGTAGGTTATCTCATTCCTCAAATAAAAAGACTGGAGAAAATTTCAATGATGATGTGAAAACATCCATAAATTTTCATGTATCTGGTATTCATCTTCCCTCGATTTCCTTTTATTTCACTGACTCATCCTTTCACCCATCCTGCCACTCAAACTCAATTCTGCCAGTGTTATTAACTGACAGCTGCTATGACGACATCCTCTTATGGACGCAGGCAATAAGATAACCAAGTGAAAAGAATAATGAATCCAACCTGGTACCTTCTCACAAGGCAGGCCTGACACAGGCTGATCATAACTACAGAGAGTGGCTTACTAGAATGTGTCCCATCCTGACCACTGAGTGTGTCTAGTTACCCGACATATATTTTGGCACACACTCTATTAACAGTGTATAAAGTAGGCTGGGCGCCAGTGGCTCACACCTGTAATCCTAGCTACTCAGGAGGTTGAGATCTGAGGATCGGGGTTCAAAGCCAGCCAGGGCAGGAAAATCCATGAGACTCTGATCTCCAAGAAACCACCAGAAAACCGGAAGTGGCGCTGTGGCTCAAGTGGTAGAGCACATGCCTTCAGCTGAAGAGCTGAGGGACAGTGCCCAGGCCCAGAGTTCAAGCCCCACAACCAAAAACAACAACAACAACAACAACAACAACGAAAAAAAAGAGTGTATGAAGTAGTTAATGAATAATCCAGAGACATCCTAAGCTTATTCCTGAGCACTTACAATGTAGAAGGCAATACCTAATCCTTAGGAAAAGGTAACATCTAGAAATCTGAAAAATAGAGAACAGCAAGACATCAAATAAAAGGGCAAGAGGGGATGCGGCTGACACCCAAAACAGGTGATGTGTGCTGGAGGAGTAGGGGAGGAGGAAGATTAGAGCCAGAAGAGGTGAGCTAAAGACAAAGAGAATAAAAGAGTACTTCCACGGGAAAAATGTCAAGCTTTTAGATAGAGGAAAAAATAATATCTACTACAGAATTTCTAATCCCAATTTACCTAATTCCTCCTGTTTCATTTCCTCTATGTAGGATTCCTAAACTCATAATGAATACCTAAGTTTAACCATCTAGGCCCTAGTTTCAAGAAAGATGGCCCAGAATTTTTTTTTTTTTTAAACAGAAACCAGCTAGTATGCCGAGAATCACTTAGCAGCTAAGTGGGAGTTCAAATGAGAGGCATAAACACATATTGTGATACCCCAGGAAAATGGATTTCATCTGGCCTGGTAAGCAGAAAAGAAAGCCTTCCTTAAGTGCAAGAATAGATAAATGAGCAGAAAATCCTACATCCTGTATGTGTTGCACCAGGCTGCTCCCTAAGAAAGGGTCAAAGGCACAGATGACCTATAGAACTTGTGAAGAGGAAGCTGAGTGTCAGGAGGCCGACGCAGCCCCTCCGAAGAGAGAGGCTGGATGAGACAGTAGAATGCCAGTTGCTCAAGCACCAAAATTTGGTTATTTGGGCTTCAGCCGTTACACCGAGGGTTGGCAATCTCCAAACTATAAGTCAAATCCAGACGTGAGTCTGAAGCCTGTGTTTGAATAAATAGATACTCTTATCTCCCATTAGTCAAAAAAAAAGCCAAAAGTGGAGCTATGGCTCAAGTGGAAGAGTGCTAGCTAGACTTTGAGCAAAAAATCTCAAGGTCAGCCGGACACCAATGGCTCACATTTGTAATCCTAGCTACTCAGCTGAGAGCTGAGGATTGTGGTTCAAAGCCAGCCTCAGCAGGAAGGTCTGTGATATTCTTATCTCCAATAAGCTATTCAGAAAAAGCTGGAAGTGGCACTATGACTGAAGTGGTAGAGTGCTAACCTTGAGCACAGAGAGGGACACAGCCCAGGCCCTGAGTTGAAACCCCAGGAGCAGAGCACACACGCATATGCATGCGCACACGCACACACACACACACACACACACACACACACACACACACACACAGAGTCATTTACTTTAACATCTTAACAGTTCTCTGATTTGCAATGTACAAAAATTAATGTAACAATTAAAAATGGAAATTATTAGCCAGGTGCTGATGGCTTATGCCTGTAATCCTAGCTACTCAGGAAGCTGAAATGTAAGGATCACAGTTTGAAGCCAATCTAGGCAGGAAAGTCATGAGCTCTTATCTCCAATTAACCAGAAAACTAGAAGTGGTGCTATAGCTCAAAGTGGTAGAGTGAGTAAAAGAGTTCAAGGATAGCACCTAGGTCCAGAATTCAAGCCCCACAATACACAACCACCATCACAAAAAGGAAATTATTAATAGAAATAATTTAATTAGCACCTAAAATAATCCTGAAGATCTATTTTATGTTAGTATTTCTGCTATACCAAGATTATTTTACAACAAAGTCTTGTCCATTTTACAATCCTTTGTCCTGTTGTTTTGGGATATCATAGTGATCTAGCTTGAAATAGTCTCAAATCATTCCTTTACCCTTTTAGGAAAAACTGCAAATTCCATGCTGCCTCCTAAAAGAGCTTTCCCAGCACAGACACAGAGACACAGAACATGGATCCACACAATACAATCAACATGGTAGTAGTGTTTACGACATGCCTGGAGGTTCTAAAAGTTGTACATACAAATATCACAACTATATTTCATTGAGTATCAAAAATAAACTACATATTAAAAAATCCCTTCTGTCATGATTTTCTCCTCAGATAAAGAGAATGTGAAAGCAACAGACTGTTACTATAGCCAATCTTTGAGATGAACCCTGAAGTGTGTGTGTATGTGTGTGTATACCTACAAACACTGAAGTGTATGTGTGTATGTATACATACAAATATGTTCACCTACCTGTTTCTCCAGCTGTTTTGTTCTTCCCATGAGGCTTATATAGAACATAAGAGCATCCTTTCACATGGAAGTGATCATTAATTTGTCTAAACCATCTGAAAATAAGAAGAGGATTTGCTAATAACAATCGTTCCACAACGAGGAAGGCTATTCCTCCAGCTGAACAGCAACTTAGCATAGCCGGAGCTCAGCATGTCTGTAAGGGACCTAGACTCAGACAAGCCGATTACTATCCACACCACCAACAGCATTATTACTTGGCATGACTGGAAAGAAGGTATTGTAGCTGCCTGCTAGTGACTCACATTTGTGCTCCTAGATACTCAGGAGACTGAGATCTGAGGATCCCAGTTTGAAGGCAGCCCACGCAGAAAAGGCTATTAAGACTCACGTTTTATGGGCTGGGAAGGTGGCTCAGTGGAAGAGCGCTTGCCTTGCATGCCTGAGGCCCTGGGTTCGATTCCTCAGCACCACATAAGCAAAAAGAAAAAAAGCCGGAAGTGGAGCTGTGGCTCAAGTGGTAGAGTGCTAGCCTTGAGCTGAAGAGCTGAGGGACAGTGCCCAGGCCCAGAGTTCAGGCCCCGCAACCAGACCCAAAAAAAAAAAAAAAAAAAAGACTTGCGTTTTAAATTAACGAGCAAAGGGGGCTGGGAAGGTGGCTCAGTGGTAGAGCGCTTGCCTTGCATGCCAGAGGCCCTGGGTTCAATTCCTCAACACCACATAAGCAAAAAAGAAAAAAAGCCAGAAGTGGTGCTATGGCTCAAGTGGTAGAACGCTAGCCTTGAGCTGAAGAGCTGAGGGACAGCGCCCAGGCCCAGAGTACTGGCCCCACAACCGGACCCCCAAAAAATAAATAAAAATAAATAAAAAATTAACAAGCAAACAAAACAGAAATGGAGGTGTAGCTCTAGTGGTAGAGCACCAGACTTGAGGAAAAAAAGCCATGAGAAGGCATGAGGCCATGAATTCAAGTCCCAGTACTGGCATAAAATAATAAATTAATAAGCTATTGCCGGGCTGGGAAGGTGGCTCAATGGTAGAGCGCTTGCCTTGCATGCATGAGGCCCTGGGTTCGATTCCTCAGCACCACATAAGCAAAAAGAAAAAAGCCGGAAGTGGCGCTGTGGATCAAGTGGTAGAGTGCTAGCCTTGAGCTGAAGAGCTGAGGGACAGCACCCAGGCCCAGAGTTCAGGCCCCACAACCGGACCCAAAGTGGACCGGACCCTTGCCTCTAAGTGGCAAGGTCATACCTCATGAGTGTTGTATTTCCAGTGAATGGGCCAAACCGGATATCTTCAAATGGTGGCTGAAAGCCCAGAATATGTAAAGCTTCTTCTTGGGTTATGGGTGGAAGGCTGTGAAAGAGGAGCTGTCAGTCATTTTACAGTCCCAATCATTCGCAGAGACAATTCACACCAGTATTAATAAACCTCTAGCTTGCAAATAATTTTCAGTTAATCATTTTCATTTTTCTTTTTTTTTGGGGGGGGGCAGTCCTAGGGCTTGAACCCAGAGGCTGGGCACTGTCCTTGAGCTTCTTTTGCTCAAGGCTAGCACTCTACCACTTGAGCCACAGAGCAAATTCCAGCTTTTTCTGTGTATGTGGTACTGAGGAATCAAACTCAGGGCTTCATGCATTTGAGGCAAGCACTCTACCACTCAGCCATCTTCCCAGTCCTTCATTTTCTTTTATTTAAAAAAAGTACACCAGGAGGCTGGGAAGGTGGCTCAGTGGTAGAGTGCTTGCCTTGCCTGCATGAGGCCCTAGGTTCGATTCCTCAGCACCACATAATCAGAAAAAGCCAGAAGTGGCACTATGGCTCAAGTGGTAGAACGCTAGCCTTGAGCTGAAGAGCTTAGGGACAGCGCCCAGGCCTGGAGTTCAGGCCCCACAACTGACAAAAAAAAAAAAGTGGTATTGCACTAGCCTTGAGCACAAGGAGCTCAGGGACAACAGCCAAACCCTGAGTTCAAGTCCTACAACCACCACCACCAACAACAACAAAAATGCATTTAATATAAATAAATAAAATATATTTAAACTAAAAGGCCTGTGACAAAACAGAGCATTTTAGTCTATTAATGTAAGAAATGGTTGGTCTCAAAATTTTCCATTCTAGAAAAAGGAACACTGAATTACTTTCAAATTTGTTGGAGTTTGGGGATAGCAATGAACTGACATACTTACTTCCCAGCTCCCATTGTGCTGTATAGGAAATTCCAACACGAAATTAATGAGGAAATGCCACAAGAAGTCTTGTACTGTGGTCTGCTTATGCAGTACCTGAGAAAATGGAAGAATGAATATGAAAGTATGACTAAGAGAAATATACATCTCCTGGTGACTCAGATATAATGAAACTTTGATCAGATAAAGCAAAGCAAAATCTTTATCCATTTAAAATATTTTGTCTTTTTTTTTTAATGCTGGTCCTGGGGATTGAACTTAGGGCCTGGGCACTATCCCTGAGCTTCTTTTGCTCAAGGCTAACACTATACCATTTGAGCCACAGCGCCACTTCTGGCTTTTTCTGTTTATATGGTACTGAGGAATCAAACCAGGGCTTCATGCATGCAAGGCAAGCACTCTACCACTAAGCCATATTCTCAGCCCTTTTTGTATTTCTTAAACACAAAATAAAAGTATAACAATAATCTAGCATATGTTTTACTAGATAGCCAATTGTGATTAATAAAGTAGACATTATCCAAACAAATAGGAAAAAAAATTAATGATATATAAAGGCAGATATCAGCTACAAAATCTGTCTGATTGTCCATTTGAGCTTAATACATGATTTTTTAAACTTCTTAAACACTGGGGAAGTATGGACAAAATACTAAGTGTTGTAATTCATGAAAACAGCACAGCTCACAATTGAATTGTATCTCTAGTTTCAGTAGTTTCTTTTTTCTTCAGTACAGTCTTAAGCTTATTCTAAAGTATTTTATTCTTTTGGTATTATTGTAACAGGCACTGTTTTCTAGCCAGGCAGGGGCGTCAGTCTGTAATTTCACTTGGAAATAGAGATTAAGAGGACTATGGTTCTGTGCCAGAGAAAAAGTTAGCTAGACCCATCTCAGTTAAGCCGGGTATGTCGGTACATGCCTGTGGTCCCAGTTATACAGGAAGTTACAAGTAGTAGGATCATGGCTGGAGGTCTACCCAATGCAAAAAAAAAAAAAAAAAGTAAGACTTACCTAAAAAATATGAAGAATAAAAAGGTGGGATACAAGCCAAGCAATCAAACTGAGCAAGCTCCAATCTTAAGAGTTTTGGCACAATTCTAATATTTGGAAATCCTAGATATAATCTTAAAACTATAAACATTTATCATATCTGTATGTGTTAACTCACGAAAGGGAAAAGATGTCAGAACATGTTTAAGTTGAAAATAAAAAGTGACATAGTATTACCATCGTCTGAGGTCTAACACTTTCCGCTGTTTGATGTCTTCAAGAGGAGAATGCTGAGGGCATTCTCTCTGGTGTCTTCCTTTTCTATCCGAAGTTTTTTTCTTGGAAACTTGTTTCTTTGCATTGCCTAGAATACAACACTTAAGGTGAAGTACACTGTCATGACAAAATTATACATCAAAATTAAAAAGTAACTACCACTAATTCTAAAAATGATATTTACAAACATTATACACACACACACACACACACACACACACACACTACTTGTCAGCCAGGTGCCAGTGGCTGACGCCTGTATTCGTAGCTACTCAGGAGGCTAAGATCTGAGAATAGGGGGTGAAAGTCAGCCCGGGTAGCAAAGTTCATGAGACTCTTATCTCCAATAAACTACTCAGAAAAAGCTGGAAGTGGCACTGTGACTTAGGTGGTAAAGCACTAGACTTGAGCAAAAGAAGCTCAGGGACAGTGGCTAGGCCCTGTGTTCAAGCCCTAGGACCAATGGAAAAAAAAAAAATTATTTATCTACCTTAAAGAAAACTAAGAGAATAAAACCACTTAAGCTACTCTGAATGCTATTTCTTATCAAGTTCTTATACACAACTCCAGAGCTAGTCATTTAGCTCATAAAAGAATCAATCACCAATTCTTTAGCCACATCTAGAAAATTATCAACAGTAATATTAAATTAGACTGCTTTGCAGAAGACAGATCCTTTCTCTAAAACAATTAAACTACATCAATGAAATCTGCTAGAGAGAGAGAGAAACATGATGTTTAAATATGTCTTTAGGCCTTCAGAGACCACAGTGGGCAAAGAATGATGCACACAATCGCAGCTACTTTGGAGGGGAGACAGGAGCATCACAGTTCTAGCGCAGCCCAGGGAAAAGTTAAGGAGATCCCATATCAAAGACAAATAGGTTTCAGTAGCACATGCAAAGTTAGAGCAAGGCCCTCTCAGAAAAACAAACGGAAAGCAAAAAGAACTAAGGGTGGCTGTCTTTTTCCCCTTCTTGTTGTTTGTGAGTCCTCCCGAATCTGCAGACTCAGCTTGAGAGAGGATGACTCTCTCTGGTCATATGGGCTGTTCTTCCGTCAAGGGTAATTGAGCACCTGTGCTCCTCCCCCACCAAGGGTAAACTAACCTAGGCAATTGGCACTGGTGGAATTTGTTTGCTGCACGTGAGGTTATTTCAACTCCCACCAAGGCAGTAAGGAAACAGACTGCAGTACAAAGTAACATCAGATGATGATCCTGCTGCCGGTGGACTGCCAATACTAGCTGCAGGAAAAGCCCACGCATCTGGGATTCGTGAGGAAGTGGCCACCCCAGGGTAGAAGGCTGCATCTGGTGAAGAAAAGCATTCTATGCCTCCCTCAGGGAGGAAAGAGAGTTGCCCACCTGGGAGAGAGTGCTTGCTGTTAGGGACTGAGCTCCTCTGGGCTGGAGTAAATAGGAGCAATCACAGCACAGTGACTCACATGGGCCCTTCACCATGGTCTTGGGGTGTCTGCCTGTGATAAGGGGCGGCTGAGGAGAGGGACGAGTACCTCGTATGGCCCAGAAGAGGTGACGCTGACAAGGTGAGCTTAGACTCCAGAGGTGGTGGGGACAAGTGACTGAAGCTGGACACCCCCTGCTGACTGACACAGCTGGAATTTTGGTATGGCAGCCACTGTATGTGCTGGTGCCGGGCGGGGGGGGGGGGGGGGGGGGGGAGGGGGGGGGGAGGAGTGTTGGCAGTGACTCCTAACACCCTGTTGAGGACACATCAAAGGCAACGGAGATGCCAAAGACACAGCCCCACGCACCTGGCACTGATGGAACCTTGACTTTTCCTGCTGAGTTTGGAAGCACAAGTGCCAGAGGCAGCTGAATCTTTGAAGGCAGGTTCACATTCATGACCTTTGTCTGAAGCTCGAACCTCCCAGCTAGAAAAGAATCCCTTTGCCTGAGGCCAAAGCAGCAAGGGAACGTTGAGCCTCAGGTCTGTGAAGTTCTGTATGGATTCGTTTTTAAGCTGAACATCTGATGCAGGCTGTTTACTTCTAGGTTTTTACTTTACAGTACAGACCGTTTTAAGTTGTATTGTCACTCCCTGTCTATAGCTCTCCTTCCCTTATACTTTCCTTCTGTCTACAAGTACATCTGTTTTCTAGTTCACCTTTCCTTCTCTACCTGTTCCCTCATCATCAATGCTCCCCCTTACCTATATTCTCACCTGGTAACTAGATTGCCCAAATATCATTTGGTTTTGATTTTTCTTTGAGATGTGTGTGTGTTGCTTATGTATTACTTGTTCTGAGTTTTATTTGGGGATTTTTGTTGTCGACCTGTTTTAGTTTTGTGTGTGTTTATTCAATTCTCATAATTTTCCTTCCCCCTTCTCGATCCAAGTATATTAACTAGTTTTTTTTTCTACTTACCTCATCACATTTCCTCATTAATATTTCTATTAAGCTCAGCTCCCATCCCTTCCTTCCTCTATAACCAAACACCTCATATTATTCATTCATGTTATCCTCATCATCTCCTTCCTATTATCACCTTGGTTAACTAAGAATTTTCCTAAAGCACAAGGATACCTCTTTGCTACTACATACATCTAAACATAGTGGAGCAGCAGTGCAGACCAGTCTTCGGCAGGGATTGCCACAAATGCAAGTTTGTGGTTTATCCATGGCAATCGCTTTTATAGGCAAGCTCCTGCACCCTCAGTATGGAAGACTTCTACAAACAATGTCCTCGGCAGTCAAGCTAATTATTTGACAATGGAGCCATACCTATCCAATCTAGTAAAAGAAAAATATGCCACAACCCAGTCATTACCAACCCTTAAGTAATCTTTGAGAAATAACCAACTAAAAGATCACAGGAGACTGAACTACCCACCTAAACTGGGTCTCAAATGAGTAAATCTCAGTGAAAAATCACTGACTTCTCATGAATAAATGAGGCAATGTGAGTCTCTCAAAAGCCAGTAACTCCACAATATGGGACTTAAGTGATAGTGAAGAGGATGAAAGTTTAAAGAATGACTTCAGGGGCTGGGAAGGTGGCTCAGTGGTAGAGTGCTTGCCTTGCATGCATGAGGCCCTAGTTAGACTCCTCAGCACCACATAAGCAGAAGAGAAAAAAAAGCCGGAAGTGGTGCTGTGGCTCAAGTGGTAGAGTGCTAGCCTTGAGCTAAAGAGCTGAGGGACTGCGCCCAGGCCCAGAGTTCAAGCCCCAGGACCGGAACCAAGAAAAAAAAAAGAATGACTTCAATAGAATAAATCTAAGAAACCTGAGAGCAAGGCATAAACACCTGGATAAATTGAAAGAGACTCCCAACCAACAACTAGAAAATTCAAACAAGCAGCTGATGAAAAAAGACAATGCAGGACACTAAAGAGTAACTCAATAAAGATATAGAAATCTTAGTCCAAAAAAACTGAAACCCTAGGCCCAAGGAGTTAAATAACCCAAATTTTAAGAAAGAAAATTGAAAGCATAGCCGATAGATAAATCTTCCAGCAAATGAACCCTGAAAACAGGAAGGAGTAGCCACCCTTAGGTTTAATAATAAAATACACTTCTATGTAAAAATAAATAAGTAAATAAAAATAAAATACACTCCAAATGAATATCAATCCACAAAAGGGTTGGGAGTAGAGCAAAGGAAAGCAATAGAGACATCTGTTCTGAGCAACATACAGAATATGGATGAAATATCATAGGGAAACTGCTTGGTACAATTTGATGCACACTTAAAAATAATGAAACACAAGAAAGTAAAACCAGCTCTGCAGGAGGGGCAGGCGGGGGGGGGGGGGGGGGGGGGGGTTACCTGGGGGGCGGGGGGGGAGGTTACCTGTGGGCGGAAGGAGGGCTAGTGAAGAGGAAAGTGAGGGTAAAAATGGCCACAGTAGTTTGTTCACATGTATGACCACAGACAAATGGTGATATTTAGACCGGTAGAGTAGGATTGATTCCCATGCCTGTGTGGGAATGTCACAAGGAGAGCCCTCTTTTACCACTATGTATACTAATAAAAAAGAAATTAGTGCATCAAGATATATATTTATGCTTAAAATAAGGCTGAATGTAATATAAAAGGGTGAGGATAAAGTTGTAAATGAACAAATTTCTGCATGTTATTGAAGTTGAGATGGTAAACATCAAACTAGAGTATGGTTAACATTAGGATGTTACATGCAATCCTCATGGAAACCACAAATAGCTTAAGTGACAGTGACAAGGATGACATATAAATATAAATACAGGGGCTGGGAAGGTGGCTCAGTGGTAGAATGCTTGCCTCGCATGCATGAGGCCCTGGGTTCAATTCCTAGCACCACATAAGCAGAAAAAGGCTGGAAGTGGTGCTGTGGCTTAAGTGGCAGGGTGCTAGCCTTGAGCTGAAGGGCTGAGGGACAGCGCCCAGGCCCAGAGTTCAGCCCCCATGACAGACCAAAAATAAATAAATAAATAAATAATAAGTAAAAAATAAATAAAATATAAATACATATAAACAAAAGGGAACTAAAAAAATCATTGCAAAAAGTAACTAAACACAAATGCAGGAATGAGAGACATAAAAAAGCTGCAACACACATAGAAAGCACATAGCAAAATGGAAGAGCTCCCTCCTATGGCAATTAGGAGGACCAAATTGCAAATACAAATGCAAATAAACTGAACTTTCCAATAAAAAACACATAGGTCAGCAGAATCACTTTTTTAAAACATGCTCCAACTATACATTCTCAATAAGACACATACTCTAGATCTAGAAACAGATTGCAAGGGAAAGAGATGGAGACAGATATTCTAAGCAAAAGTAACCAGGAAAGAACAGGAGTGGCTATGAATAAGCCAGTCAAAAAAGGGCAAATGCTGAATGCTTCCACTTAAGGAAGTCAGATTCACAGAGATAGGAACAAGAATGAGAGAGAGGGAATGAAGACTTAATATTTAACATGCACAGTGTTTCCTCTTGAAGAGGATGAAAAGAAACCTGGAGGTGGATAGTGGGGACAGCTATATAACAACATATGCACACTTAAAGCCACTGAACACAATAATAATGGTTAAGAGATGGTTAACTTTGTTCCGGGTTTTGTTACGTTTTGCTATAACTTAAATATGTCATTTCTAAAGGGATTAATTAAATGAAAAGATGGTTCCAAATCACAGTTGGAGATTATTAGCATCCACCTTTCAGTAACTGATAGAGCAAGAAGAAAATTAAATACAACCACCGATGTGATAGACACTTCCAAACACTCTGACCTGATTCATATGTATAGATATACCAATAGCTGCAGAATTCAGAGCATTACCAAGTTCACACTGGACATTCACCAAGATAGACCATATGCTGGGTCATAAAATGGGGCTCAGTAAATTCTCAAAGACCGAGATCATATGTCTGTGCCTGTCATGCAATTAAATCAATATTTAGAAGAAAAGAACTCTCAAGTATCTGAAAAATCAATATTACACATTAGAGGACTAATATACCGTCATGCCTCCAAATCTGACAACTTAAAAATGAAATGGAAGGAATGACATTGATGAAGAAGCACTGTACTCATAACCTGGCTTATAGCATTGTAACCTCTTTGTAAAACTACATATTAATAATGATAATACTAAAAGGAAAAAATGAAATAAATACGAAGAATATTACATGACTTGCAAAGAAATGGACAAACCTGGAAAAAATAATGTTAAGTGAAATAGGTCAGGCCCAAGGGGATAAGGAATTCATGTATTCTTTCATATGTGGAAGCTAGACTATTTATAAATGTTCAAGTAAGCCAGGCTCTGTTGGTTCATGCCTATAATCCTAGCAACTCAGGAAGCTGAGATCTCAGGAACTTGGTTCAAAACCAGCCTGGGCAGGAAAGTCCATGAGACTCTTAATCTCCAACTAACCATTAGAAAACTGGAAGTGGAGCTGTGGCTCAAAGTGGTAGAGTACTACCCTTGAACACAAAAGCTTAAAAGAATGCCCAGTCCCTGACTTCAAGCCCCACAACCAACAACAAAGATTAAAAAAAAAAAAGAGAGAGAGAGAGAGAGAGCCGGGCACCAGTGGCTCAAGCCTGTAATCCTAGCTACTCAGGAGGCTGAGATCTGAGGATCGCAGTTCAAAGCCAGCCCGGGGAAGGAAAGACCGTGAGACTCCTATCTCCAATAAACCACCAGAAAACCGGAAGTGGCACTGTAGCTCAAGTGGTAGAGCGCTCACCTTGAGCTGAAGAGCTGAGGGACAGCACCCAGGCCCAGAGTTCTAGCCCCATGACCAAAAAAAAAGAAAGAAATTAAAACATGGCATAATTAATGGCATTCATGGTAATTCCATAATTACAAAAAAAAATTTAAACACTCCTGAAACCCCCCAGAATATAGAAGAAAACACTGCATAGCCCTGCCTTCAACTCTAAAACAAGTTCTTTTAAAATATATACATACATATAGAAGTATATAGTGTATATATATATATATATATATATGTATATATATATTTATTTATTTCCTCTTTGTTTTCACATGTGAACTTGATGGTTCCTTCCTTACCTGATTTGTGTTTCAAATTGGTAGTGACCCCATCGAATTCCGATTTATCAATTTCCCATGCGAGAGGTAGCTTGCCTAGGCTGTTGGATAACGTGTCCAAGTTGTTTTCTTCATTATAGATTATTTCAGATGTACTAGTTGGGATGCCGATGTATTTTGATGCATTATTCCCAGTAGATAAGGAGGTACTGTCAGAGAGGCAAGAGGAGCGGGCTGGGTTTGGAGTTTTGTAGATTGAGGTTGCCTGGTTGAGGAAGGCATAGTCTGAGCAGATGGCATAAATTTTTTCACGAGTGTGAGTCACGGGACAACTCCACGGGTAATGGCCATCTCCTTTGGGACCCAAGGTTGCTCCTGAGGTACTTGTGCAGAAAGATTTTACAGCACCTTGTAGATTCTCTTCCAGAGACTTCCTCTCAGACTGGTGCTCACCATTTCCAGAATCACTGGCCCTTTCGGGTTCTGCAACGTTAGGCATTGAATGCAACTGTAAAAGTGTCTGTTGCTAGGAGGAAGCTACAACCTTCTCTTCTTAAAAAAACAACGTGGGCCGCAGCTTACTGCATTCTACAAAACTTGAGAACTGAGAAGCTGGATCCTAAGGAAAGCGGGAAAAGGAAAAAAAAAAAAGATCAACAATCCACTAGATACTACAAATAGCACTGAATGTTACATAAGTATTATTCGTAAGTCTTCATTCAATATATATTTATTTTATGACTATATGCCTAGAGGTATGAACATAAACGCTTTTATTTTAAAAATCTCTGAGTGTGATAACATGCACCTGTCATTCCAGCTATGGTAGGAATTGTAAAACAGGAGGATCATGGTCCAGAGATATACCCAGATAAAAAAGTGAGACCCTATCTCAAAATAACAAGTCCAAGAAAGGGCTGGAAGTGTGGCTCCGTGGTAGTGTCTGCCCAGTAAGCATGAGGTCCTGAAGTCGAAGCCAAGTAATGTCCCTGCTCCAAAAGAGAACAACAACAATACAAATAGCACATTAAAAAAAAAATGGGCTCTGGTTATGAATAGGGATCACTTCTCCAAAGGCAAGATAGAAATGGCCAACAGGCACATGAGAAGATGCTCATCCTCATGAGCCATCACAAAAATGAAAAGCAAAATTACGATGAAATACTCAGTTATACCCACTGGGATGATGACAGTATAAAAAGAGAGGTAATAGTAAGTGTTGGCTAGAATGTAGACAAGTCAGAACCCTAATACATTGCTAGCAGAAACATAAAACGGTCCAGTAGGTTTCTAAAAACAGTTCTTCAGATATTTAAACAATTATCATATGGTCTGGAAATTTTACTCCTAGGCACATCCACGAAAAATAAAACCATTATGACCATATCAAGAAAGATGAAAACACATGACTCCAGGTTCACAGCTACATTACCCATTATAGCAAGAAAAAATGAGAACCCAAATGCCTATCGAATGATGAACAAATAAATGTAGTATGTCCACATAGTAGAATTAATTTGGCAATAAAAAGTACTGATCCATGGTTGCACATGAATGAATTTTGAAAACATTATAGTAACTGGAAGAAGCCCGTCACAAAGGACCAGATGCTACATGATCCCATTTGCATAAAAAGAGCAGAAGAAGCAAAGCCTCTTCTAATGGTTGCCTAGGGCTCACATCTGGCCATGATAAGCCTTTTTGCAATAATGACAATATTTGATAATGAATTTAAAAGCACAATTTTGGTAATATACAGAAAGCCACTGTAGCAAACATGTCAATGAGGGGCCACACAGTATACAAATTATGTATCAAAAAAGTGTCTAAAAATAATGTTGGAATTACTGCTCAAAAAGAATACTGTCAGCCAGCCAGGTGCCAGTGGCTAAATCCTGTAATCCTAGCAACTCAGGAAGATGAGATCTGAGGATCAAGGTTCCAAAGTCAGCCAAGGCAGGAAAGACTCTTCACCAAATAACCACCAAAAAGCGGGAAATGAAGCTGTGGTTCAAGTAGTAACATGCTTGCTTTGAGTAAAAAAAGCTCAGAGACTGCACACAGGCCACATAAAAGCCACATGATACTGGGCCATACTGAAGTCAATAACTAGTACAGAATTTTAATCTTTACAAATGAGTTTTCACCAGACACCCCCTACTCCCAAAATATTTTTCTTCTAATTGAAAGGTCACCAATTCTTGTCAGAAAAGTCCATAAGACTTTTTTTTTGGGGGGGGGGTCCAGTCGTGGGGCCTGAACTCTGGGCCTGAGTGCAGTCCCTCAGCTCTTCAGCTCAAGGCTAGCACTCTACCACTTGAGCCACAGCGTCACTTCTGGCTTTTTTCTTTTTGTTTATGTGGTGCTGAGGAATGGAACCCAGGGCCTCATGCATGCAAGGCAAGCGCTCTACCACTGAGCCAACTTCCCAGCCCCTCCATAAGACTTTTATCTCCCATTAGTTATCAAATAGATGCAAGTGGCCTAAGTGGCAGAGTAAGTGCTAGCCTTGAGTGTTAAAAATTCAGGGATAGTGCCCAGGCCCTGAGTTCAAGCATCAGGACTGGCCAAAAAAAAAAAAAAAAAGGAAAGGAAAAAATAGAACATGCGCCATGCAGGAACTTCTAGAGTCTCCTGAACTCCAGAGAAGCTGGTCAAGGTCCAGTAAGTCTTCATGAATCTTAAGGACTGCATGTGCTACGTATCACCCTCTGGAGTTTAGCTTGCTTCCTTCCTTGTGTTGAATCAAACACTGCCCATCAGACTAACTCACACGTATAACATCCTAATCAAAACCACAGGCACAACAGGTACCGTATAATATACAGGTTCTATAATCCTAGTTATTTGGGAGGTAAAGAAAGAGGGGAGAAAAGGAAGTGGTTAGGCCATTGGGAGTCCCCTATAGCTGGAAAAATAGGAGTGCAGCAGCTGCAAGCCCAGCCATCCGTGGAGATGAAGTCTCCCTAACTTCTTGTTCAGGCTGGCCTCAACGCCCATCGCCTAATTTCCATCTCCCACATGCCTACCATTAAAGGCCTGAGACACCATTCTTTTGTTCCTAAATGGTTACTGTGCAAGAATAATCCTCTCCCCCACTAAAAAAAAAAAAAAAAAGGTGATCATCATCATGAAAACGTATTTTATATTGTCACTAAAAACCAAGGACGTGAAATTTCTCCTTGAAATTTTATGTAATGTTTATAAATCTTATTAAAGTAAAACACTGCAAAAAAATTACAAAGTACGCATTATCCTGCCCATGTAATTGTAACCCCTCTGTACAGTATGTTCACAAAAAAATAAAATAAAATTATAAGAAAAAATTACAAAGTGTCAAAAGATATTCTGCAGAAAATGAAAAGAATCTAAAATCCATGTCCCACACGCTGCTCGTGTCTTTTTCTTTCCCTGTCATGTCTGCCTTATGTCTTTTCTCCCACAATATTTAACGTTAACAAGCCAATATTATATGTCCTCAGTAAGGCTTGAAAACAGGCCTGGACACCATCCTATAGACTGTTTATTCAAGGCCGGAACTCTACCACTTGAGTCACAGCTCTACTTGAATGGTTAATTGAAGAATTGGAAAAAGTTTCACAGATGTTCCTCCCCAGGTTAGCTTCCAACCATTATTCTCAGATTTCAGCTTCTGGGAAGTTAGCTACCCCCAAATCCCAATTTTCTTAAGCAACTTGTACAGTTAAGAACCAAATCATAACAATCACTGGTTATTCTGTTAAGTTGTAATTGTAATTGCAAGAAATACTACACTATACATTGGTTATTGTCTGTCTTTCAGCCTGCAGCAAAGTTTTATCACCTCTGGGATCTCCTTTTGTCTCAGTTTACAACTCAGTCCCTACAAAAAGCCACCCCACCCCCAAATTGTCATTTTTCATCTGATTTATACAAGACATAAAATAAAGCTTGCTACAGATATATGATCTTAGAAATTCCCTGCCTAAAACCCTGAGCTCTCCTAACAAAAGGCCAGCTCTGGACCTGGTCTTGTCAGCTACACACACACACACACCTTTTTCTGCTACACACACACACACACACACACACACACCTTTTTCTGCTACACACACACACACACACACACACACACACACCTTTTTCTGCTTCTTCCACACTGCTTCCCTGGTTCCTCCTGACCTCCTGTGCTAGGCAATTTCCACTCATTTGTCAAATACATCTGTTCAAATGCCACTCTGTGAAGGTGCTTTTCTTACTCTTCAAACTGGGCTAGGTCACCCCCCATATACTTGGTGCCTGTCTTGCACAAGTCTTCATAAGGTGTGATTTTACATCTACATTGATGTGTGTGTGTCTGTGTCTATATGACAAACGACGGTCTTCTGCAAGTTGATTTTCTCGATGACTGTGTCACTAGCGTCTACCAAAAGCACCAAGGCAAGCTCAACAATATTTCCGAAGTACCTAGTCTGTGCATGCAGGGCATTATGGTAACTATGTTCCAATGCACGATCGGCTGAGATTCCTTCATCCAGGTAAGTGAAATTACGATTAACTAATACGAGTAACTGCTGGGCCGAGTCTAGACTTAAACGAATTACCAAAAAAAAAAAAAAAAAACCTTCTCCTAAGCGACAGAAGCATTGCTTACCTGGCTGCAGAGCAAAACTGTATTCAATAACAAGCTTCAAATGCACCCATGGAGCCAAGACACTGGAACAGGCTGCCATGTAAAACAGACCGTTGGTAAGGCCACTACCCATCACCTCGACTACATGATTTCCAGATGGTCTAGCTCCTCTGTTCTTCAGTATCAAGTTTATCAGTTCAGCCTCCCGCACCCGACAGGCCCCGTGACCTGCATGCATGCAGAGGGCACCGGGAACGCAGGGGCCGTCCCGAGACCGGCCAGGCGCTGGCCGTGCGCCACGGGCTAGTCCACCCTTCCCAGGCCCCGTCCCCGCCACCCGCCCCGACACCTCCCCACAGCCGGGCTGCAGGCCTACCCAAGGAGGAGGGCGCCCGGGGGGCGGGGGAACCACGCCTCGACCCGGGCTCCGGGGAGGCCGAGATGGGGGTGATGGGAAGGGGGGGGGGTCCTCACCTTCGCCCGGACAGCGGCGCGGCCCTGAAGCGGCGAGGCGGTGGCGGCAGCCAGGGACGCGGATCCGGGCGGCGGAGAGGAAGCGCAGCTGCGCCCCCCGCCCACCGCGCTCCCGCGGCGGGGACCCGGGCCCGCGCGCGCGCGCCCCGCGCACCCGAGGACCGGGCGTCCGTCCCCCCTACGCCCCCGCTCTTCCCCCCCGAGAAGATGGGGTTCGCCGGCCGGGGTCCCCCAGATGCTCGGGCGTCACACGACGCCAGGTGGACGCGCGCAGCTGACGCCCCCTGGCGATGATGGACGGCCCCGAAGGGGGGGGTTCTCGAAGGGACGACTCGCGTCACCCAGAACGACAATGGCGAAAAGGAGCCAAGAAACCCCTTGCCTAGGCCCCCAACCAGGCCCGCCGGGGCGCCGGAGCCTCCCCACCACCGGGGCTCGGTGGGGGGGTGGGGGGGGAAGAGGGGAAGGCAGGCTTGAGCGAGCCCGAGAGGCGAGGCCCAGGCTCGGGGTGGGATCCCGAGCCCCCGCCCCGAGCGGCGACCCCGGGCCGCCTGCGTGACGGGCCGGGCCCGCGGGCAGCGTGCGGAGCCAGGGGGCGGCGGACACCCTGGCGCAAGGTGCCCGGGTCCTGCCGCGCGCGGCGTGGCGAACTGGGAGACCCCCGCCCCGGCGTCCGACCGGGTACTTCTAAATCCAACTCGTCCTCTCCGTCCCTGGCGACCCAACTCCACCCTTCCCTTTCCCGGCACCAAAGCAACTCCACTCGGACGCCGCAGAGCTCCCAGAGCGCGGACTCCACGCCTCCCCGGGAGAGCCGGAGGCGCCGACCAGAGGCCTTAGGGCCCTGCCCCGGGGTCCGGGGGGCGCCAGGAGCACCGCGGGCAGTCCCTCCTTGACTCCGGCCCGGCAGATACCTCTGGCTTGTTCCTGCCGGGGTCCGATGGCTGCCGCTGCGGTGGAACCCCGACACCAAACTGGATCACAGCTGGGCTGGCGCGGCGCCCCGCGACGCACTCCGGTTACCCCGGGGCCGGCCTTCCGCGGCCGTCAGAGCGCCGGGAACCGCGCTCGGGACTCCAGCTCCCCAGGGGCGGGCCGGTGGGTAGCTTCGGTCATTCCGTCCTTGGGTGATTCCTTCTCTACCCTCCCTGGCACGGGCGGAAGACAGGGCGACCAAAAGTAAATGCATAAAATTCTTGCAAAGTTGTGACTCTTGAACTTAAGTGTCTCTGGGAGGGCATCGGAAGCATCTACTTGTTCCCGAAAAGCGGCGATCGAAAAGCAAATAGATGCAGGAGAAAATGTTTTTAAAAAAAAAAAAAAAAGCAAGAAAAAGAGAGGATAAACAAAAAAATGTGGCAGAATTTCCGCTGGTCTTGCCGCGAACTACATATCCCAGGGAGCCCCGGGCGCGGAGGAGGCGTGTCCACCCAGAAGCCACTCACAGAACGTCTTACTGCGCCTTACCCGGCGCGCTGGCCAATCACCGCGCCTGGCACCCGGGCTGGACACCCCCCCCCCCTCCCGCGCGGGACGCATTCGCCTCCTCCACTGCCCACCCCAAAGGATGCTCGCCGGGGGGAGGGGGGGGAGGGGGACGGTAACTCAAGTTCATCCTGGCCCAGAAACTCGAGTGGCACTCGCCGTTCCCCACCCGTTCCAACAGGACGCCTGACCATCTCCTCGGTGGGCCCTCCACCCTCCGGCGGGGACATCGCTGTGGGGGGGACCGCCCCCCGCGCGCGCCGAGCCGCCCTCCCGCCCCCCCCCCCCCCCCAGCGCGCCGGTGCACGCTTCCGCGGCCTCATTCCCCCGGGATCGCCGCGAGAGTCCGTCCCGTAAATGTGGAGCATTCTGCTGCTTTCCTGCTGTATCCTGGGGACTGTGCCAGCGCAGAGCGGCCGAGAGCAACGTCTGAGCCCCGAGAAGAGCCAAATATGGGGACCCGGGCTAAAAGCAGATGTCGTCCTTCCCGCCCGCTATTTCTACATTCAGGCCGTGGATGCATCTGGAAATCAGTATGTCAACTTTCTTCAACTCTATCTGCTCCGAGACTCGTTTCTGTTCCCACCCCCACCCCCACCCCCCAGCAGTTTTTCCTTCTTGGCTACTTGGAGGGTGATCCACAGCTGGTTGCAACTGGTTTCCCGTCTCAAGCGATTTCTTTCTGTAACTTTGGAAACAATCAGACCTATTACGTTCCACGCCTATTATAGTAGTGTTGAATAGTGCCATCCTATTATAGTAGCTTCTCCCTTCGCCTTTCTAATGGATATTAAAAGCGGAGCAGAGCTCCTGAGCCATTTCTAACGACTTCATATAAGCAGCTGTTAAGGAATTTAAACCTAGTTGTTTCAGAGACTTGATCCGTTTCCCTGGTGTTTGCCTCAATGTTCAAAGAGAGATCTGAATGTAGACAAAGCATGTTTTGAAATTCAGGAAGAATGAAGTACTAATTCAAACTAATTAAATTCGAGGGGAAGGTATGACAATATGGATCTCCTATATGTTTGTAATGAAAGTCTGTTTTGTTCCAGTGAAATTAATACATTTAAATTACATTTAACCCTTAAGCTTTAGGACCACCTGGCTGGTGGCTGAGGCCTATAATCCTAGCTACTTAGGAGGCTCAGATCAGCGAATGGCTGTTCAAAGCAAGAAAGTCCAGAGATTTTTGTTTCCAGTTAACTACCAAAACAAAAGCCCGAAGTGGAGCTGTGGCCCAAGTGGTAGAGGACTGACTGAACCAAAAGAAAAAAAAACCTCAAGAATAGTGCCCAGACCCGAGTTCAAATCCTGGACCAGGGCATGTATGCGTGTACACACACACACACACACACACACACACACACACACACACACACACACACACACACACACACACTGTAATGATGGACTTTATTCTTGGTGGATGCTGTGTGTGTTTTGCAGGGCAAAAAAAAAAAAATCTTGGGAATTAAACATTGTCCAAAGTGAAGAGGGAGAAGGTTGTTTTTTCATTTGCCTATTAATAGTACAAGTGGAAAAAATAAGTGGCATTTTAATAACAGGAGTGTGCACTTAATAACACTGATGACACTGGTATGATTCACCACCTTCTTTGATTTTGCCTAAGGCTGAGCACAATTTAGGATACTGGTACTTTAAGAGTCATTGAGAACAATTTTTAAAAGTAAGGTCTTCCCTGGAAAAAATTATGTTAAGTGAAGTGAGTCAGGCTCGAAAAAACTGCCTGTTTTCTCTCATTTATGGAAGTTAGATCTGACATAAATATATGTGAAAGAAGTATGGTACAATGGGGGAGGATTCTCATGGTTTAACTCTTCTGAACAACTAATGTAATCTTAAAAAGAATACTAGAAAGCTGAAGCCTGTTGGTTTGTTTTTTGGGGGGGTAAAACAGGGGAGGTGAAAGGAGAGATGAATGAATAGTGGGTACATACAGTCATATACAAGTGCCTGTGTAAATATGGAACTAGGTAACTTGAGAGGGGGCAGGTGGGATGGGGAGCAGTGAGTGGGAAGACTGAAGGGGTGGCATTGACCAGAATGCATTGTAGTTAAAAATTGGTATGTTGAATTGAACCCCCTTTTTACAACAGCTTGAAATAAAGAATAAAAAAGCCTGGGAGAGATTGAGGGAAGGGGACATTGTCCAAAAAGAAATGTACTCTTAAATATACTTGACATATGTAATGGTAACCCCACTCTACATCTCCTTTATAATAATGATTTTAAAATTTTAAAATAATAAAGGAAGATATAAGATCCTCTTTGAGATTCCATTTATTCACAAACTTCCAGGTAGAATAGACATGAATAAATAATAGACTAATAGGGATATTTTTACATGTATACATGTTTCTGTGCTTACATTGATTAGTAGTCGTATCTTGTGTCATAACCTATCAGATGGATATATCTTACCTTATTGGAGCCATTGTTAACTTTTTTCATCCTTGAGTCATTGTATTTATTCTTGAAAACATAGAAAGAAGCAACAGGCATAGGTTAGAGCATGATTGCTACCTGTGTGTTCCATCCAATAACCTTTGCTTCTTGTTGCCTTCCCAGGTTCACATCTTCTCCAGGTGAAAAGGTGTTCCAGGTTAAAATCTCAGCCCCTGAGGAGCAATTCACTAGAGTTGGAGTCCAGGTTTTAGACCGGAAGGATGGGTCTTTCATAGTAAGATACAGAATGTACGCAAGCTACAAAAATCTGAAGATAGAAGTAAAATACCAAGGTCACCATGTGGACAGATCTCCTTATATTTTAAGAGGTACATTGGAATGTAATTTTGAAACAATATAATAATATATGTCATTCCCTCCATAAAATCAATTTAGTGGACTTTTGTCAATGAAAGAAGAAAAATAGATGTTACTTAATTGAAGGCGAAGTTGCAAGTCTACCTATGTGGGAAAATATCACAGCACTACCTTGTAAAGAGACATAAGTTTTGGGGCTGACTTCCTTGTAAAGTCCCATGTATTTCTTTTATAAGATGCATTCAAGCCGGGCCCCACTGGGTACTCAGGGGCTGAGATCTGAGGATCATGGTTTGAAGGCAGCTCAGACAGAGAAGACCATGAGACTGTTAACTACTCAAAAAAGAAAAGAAAAGTTGAAAGTGTAGCTGTGGCTCAAGTGGTGGAGCGCTAGCCTTGAGCAAAAAGAGCTCAGGGACAGTACCCAGGTCCTAGTTAGTTCAAGCCTAGTTAGTCAAAATTCAGGAAGCTCATGATGTGGATAATTGTTACATGTTTCAAATGCTAAGTAGAATTTTCACTTGTACTTTTGTTGTTTGTATCTAAATAGGGCCAGTTTATCATGAGAATTGTGACTGTCCTTTGGAAGATAGTGCAACCTGGCTAAAGGAGATGAACTGCCCAGAAACCATTGCTCAGATTCAGAAAGATCTGTCACATTTCCCTACTGTTGATCCAGAAAAGATTGCAGCAGAAATCCCAAAAAGATTTGGACAGCGACAGAGTCTGTGTCACTACACTTTGAAAGACAACAAGGTACAACGTTTGGTTAAAGTTTGCTTGCTTTCCTGATCCTGGTTTGTTTTCTTTTAGCCATAACTAGATTAATAATTTTATTAAACATTGTCCTAATGGGAATCATTGTGACCAGAATTTCTCCAGGGAACTTTGCCAGGACTTTAAGACTGACTTACCAGATGTTAAATTCTTTTTTAGGTATATATCAAGACTCATGGTGAGCATGTAGGTTTTAGAATTTTCATGGATGCCATCCTGCTTTCTTTGACTAGAAAGGTGAGACTATATGTTATATCTGTTTCCTGTAAGTACATGTAGACAATGTTAACCCTGGTATTACAATGTAACTTTTCAAAACAAAACAGATAACACTAGGAACTGTCTACTACGCTGGAGATATATTATAATGATATTCTGAACTTACATGTCATATATGAGAGATACCTGGATTATTTTCCAAGGGCTGCTGTAACAAAATGGTACAAATGGAGTGTCTTTAAACAATGAATTCATTCTCTCACTGTTCTGGAAGCCAGGCCAGAAGACCTGAACCAGAGAATCTCAGAGCCACATTCCTTCCTTCTCAGGTTCTGTTCCTGTCTCTACCCCTCCCCCCCCCCCACCACCACCAATTCCCTGATTCTTCCATTCAGGAGGTGACCTTCCATCCCTGGGTTGCCTGGTTTTCTGCTACTCCTTGAGTCTTTGAAGATGCTGATATTTAAGAACAAAGAATATCTTTCTTGAAGAAACATCTCACCCCTGCCAAACAGTGACTTGTGGTGAAGAGAAAAATGCTTTATAGTAAAATTATTTTGTTACCAAACCTACTTTAAGTCCAGTGAAGGGTTACCTTATACTGAATACTGTTCTTGGTACTATGTTAGAATTGGGTTCTAATAGACTAGTTAACAGTAGCATTAAAGTGGTCAAGATAAAAATGATAGCATAGCCGGGTGCTGGTGGCTCACGCCTGTAATCCTAGCTACTCAGGAGGCTGAGATCTGAGGATCATGGTTCAAAGCCAGCCCAGGCAGGAAAGACTGTGAGACTCGTATCTCCAATAAACCACCAGGAAACCAGAAGTGGCGCTGTAGTTCAAGTGGTAGAGCGCTCACCTTGAGCTGAAGAGCTGAGGGACAGTGCTCAGGCCAAAAGTTCAAGCCCCAGGACCGACAAAAAAAAAAAAAAAAAAGATAGCATTTATCAACTGTATGTTTATTATCTCTTATAATTTTTATTAGATAAACTTAGGACACCTTAACTGAATTATTCATGGGGAATGTGTGAAATGACAGTTCTTTCTTCTCAAGTTTGCAAAG